ATAATCGTACCAAATATCCGGAGACATCGAATAACTTGAAACATTTCCACGTATAACTTTCTTTAACGTCTTCCAAAGACACTTACAATCCCCATATTCAGCAGACCTCTTTATATCATCACATATTTTGGTATTATAAGAACGCTTCTTCTTTTCACAACATATTCTATATTCATTTTTGGCATCCACATACAACTTTAAGTTTAAGACACATTATGTTACGGTAACTACGAATAAATATGTCTTTTATCAGTGCAAATACCATGGATGTAATCAAAGCAGTTCACGCTATGCTAGTATCACATTCATACCTATATTCACATATACGCTATTCTTTCTCAATCAAACAATCGTTAAACATACAACCATACAAAATCTAGAAGCACTTGAATGAATTAAATGAAGTATTTGAGTGCTTCGGTGCTTTTTTTCAAAACTAAATTTTATCTGTCGTAATTCACGAAAACCTGACTGGGTTATTATTTACACTTATACCTTGTTAAATCTTGCCTGTTCATTTACACACAAATTATTGTTTATGTTTACACACAAACATTAACAAAATGATACGTAAAGATAAACACAGTGACCAATACACACAAACATTAACAAAATGATACCTAAAGATATACACAGTGACCAATACACATAAACATTAACAAAATAATACGTAAAGATATACACAGTGACCAATACACATAAACATTAACAAAATAATACGTAAAGATATACACAGTGACCAATGCACATAAACATTAACAAAATGATACGTAAAGATATACACAGTGACCAATGCACATAAACATTAACAAAATGATACGTAAAGATATACACAGTGACCAATACACACAAACATTAACAAAATGATACGTAAAGATATACACAGTGACCAATACACACAAACATTAACAAAATGATACGTAAAGATACACACAGCGACCAATACACACAAACATTAACAAAATGACCAATACACACAAACATTAACAACATGACATGTAAACATACACACAGTGACAAAAACAAACAAACATTAACAAAATGATATGTAAAGATATACACAGTGACCAATACACACAAACATTAACAAAATGATACCTAAAGATATACACAGTGACAAAAACAAACAAACATTAACAAAATGATACGTAAAGATATACACAGTGACCAAAACACACAAACATTAACAAAATGATGCGTAGAGATACACACAGTGACCAATACACACAAACATTAACAAAATGATATGTAAAGATACACAGAGTGACCAATACACACAAACATTTACAAAATGATATGTAAAGATATACACAGTGACCAATACACACAAACATTAACAAAATGATACCTAAAGATATACACAGTGACCAATACACATAAACATTAACAAAATGATACGTAAAGATATACACAGTGACCAATACACACAAACATTAACAAAATGATACCTAAAGATATACACAGTGACCAATACACATAAACATTAACAAAATGATACGTAAAGATACACAGTGACCAATACGCACAAGCATTAACAAAATGATACGCAAAGATATACACAGTGACCAATACACACAAACATTAACAAAATGATACGTCAAGATACACACAGTGACCAATACACACGATTACACTGACCTGTGAGGTGCAACAAGTTTGTGATGTCCAACCCATGACGGACATACATCTTGCTAGTGCAAAGGGTGAGGCTGAACCGCTTATCTGAATTATGGAAAGAGGGCAAGAGTTTGAATTAACTTTGATTAAATCTGCCGATCCTACCTCATCACCCTTAATTAAACTAGACTGATACTGAACAACAACAATAATAATAATAGACCTGTGTTATGAGGAGTATAGTCGTGATTACTCAATGTCATATTGAAAGTGGTCAAATGTAACATATGTTTTATTTCGGATTGAACTTTCTTAGTAAAGTACAGATTCTATTATTTTGAGGGTTTGAGTCCCACCCGGGATTTGACCCAAAACCCTCATAGTCAGGCAATTAATCGCCAGCACACAAAGTCAGCCGTCTAAACCGCTCAGCCACCGCGACTTCCGCTATGCTACACTATGCTGGCAATTAGGTGCCTGACTCTGAGGGTGCGGGTTCGAATCCCGGATGGGACTCAGCCCAACAAAAGTACTAGAATCTGTATTTTACTCAGAAAGTGTAATCCCTAATATAACATATGTTATAAATGAGTATAGTCAGTTTCAAAATGGCCATACCTGTTGATAGAAAAACACAAACATTCATCAAATGTTACACCTGCAATTAATATACAAACATCTATAATACTATTAAACGACTTAAAACTAATGCTTACATTAGTGTATAATATACTATCCCCAGAAGAAACGCATAGGCCAGAAATCTGTTGCGAAAATGTTGTATTTTCAAACATGCATAACTCGTCCACAAATAGACTTTAGTACATGAATGTTTACATCAGTTTGGAAGAAGGTAATGTCTATACAACCAAGTGAATACCTTTAGATAACGGAGACGTTGAGCGCGATGGTGACGACGTAGCATACACAACATAGCGGTAAATCTCTTCCATGATCAAATGTAATCTCAGCTAACAGCCTTGTCATGGTAGCGGGTATTTGAGAAAAGGTGACCTTAATCTGCCCCAACCTTGGGATCTGTGGAAGTACCCACCCGTTCAAATACAACAGAAATCAAACAAACAATCAAACTCCTTACACACGCATGCTACACGCCCGAAAAGTGCTACACAGATTTCAGATTTAATATAGGGCTAACGACCGTTGTCTATTATGGGAAATATCATAAATACAGGTATGGTCTTGACAAACTATGCAATCAATATAAGCAGGTCATGTGTTGCCTATCACTGCCGGTTCCAGACACGTCTCTGGACCAAGCTACGCAGAGCAAATATGTCTCCTACAAGGACAGAAATGTTATTTAACCCTCGTAACGTCAGCAGTCGAACTAGTGACAAGAGTGAGTGAGTCTAGTTTTATGCCGCTTTTAGCAATATTCCAGCAATATCACGGCGGGAACACCAGAAATGGGCTTCACACATTGTACCCATTTGGGGAATCGAACACGGGTCTTCGGCGTGACAAGCTAACGCTTTAACCACTAGGCCAACCCACCGCCCATAATGACTAGAAACATATTTGAAGCTTGAAAAAATATATCACTCTTGTCAGGTGAAAGTTCTCATTTCAAAATATAGTATGAGTCAGATTTCAGTCAGCCACATGCTTTCGGAAAGAGTATATTTATCTTAACATTCCATGATGTTTCTAGAAAGGAGAGTTAATTTTTGATTTAGCAAAAACGTGTACTAAGGTTTTTATGAAATTCATTAAAATTCAGTCGTTTTGATGATTGTAATACTTGGCCTTCAGTTTCAGTATCAGACATATTCTCAGGCATATCATTCCATTGTTTTATTGTGTCAGGTAAAAACGAATTTGCAATACACATCACAATGACAACTTATTGTTTGAATGCTATTACTGTTTCTTAATCTATGGTCACTTAACTGTGATACTCTGTGATACAGGTAGTAGATCAGTTAAATAAACTGATGTCACATTATGAACCATTTTTTATAATAATGATAAATTCCTAATTTGTCTACGGTCAACTAGAAGCATAAAGTTAGTTTCCTTATCAATTAAATCATGACTTGTTCCTCTAACTGCCCCGCAAATCGTCCGCAGAGCATCTAAATGTAGATTTTCAACAATTTATTCTTGTTCTTTAGTACGCTTATCCCAAAGGTGAGATAAGTAATCGAACATTTGTATGACTTGTATATTTGCTTTAATGAGTTTCTAGATAATCTATATTCAAAACTGACCCGTGAAGGTCCGGGCAAGAATTGGTCTTCAGTAGCCCATGCTTGTCGTAAGAGTCGACTAACGGGATCGGCTGGATAGACACGCTGACTTGGTTGACACATGTCATCGCATCCCAATTGTCGATCGATGCTCATCCTCTTGATCACTGGATTATCCCTACCATTACCAAGTTAGTGATGGGCAGTAGTGTACTATATGTAGACTTGTACTATTTGTAGACAGTGCTCTGGAAGGTACCAAATGGTACTGCAACCCGATGGCCTTTATAGTGGGAGGTACTCTGGCATCTCATCTCACGCTTCATCTCAAGATGCATGAAGACCAGCATTGTGTGGAGACACTGGATACTCAGCCTAGCTACATCACCCAACGAACACTCGTTATAATTCCATGAAATCGTACACCTCGATAGAAATGTATTCCGAAAAGGAACACTTGATCATCATACCAGCTTCTACACGCCCCTTAAAGAAGTTCTATATATTCTCTTGACTTGACCCTACCACATGAAGTTGCACTGTTGATTAAATGGTTTCATGTCCACCGGCGGACAAGGAAGGGAGAGGGAACATAAACTAACAGAGGGGGCATCAAACGACTAATATTTTGCGAACAAGTGCATGGTTGTATGGCGAGAACACTCTCTACCTATGACCAGGTCATTTGTTGTACATAAAACATGTTCATTTAAACGCATGCTCTGTCATCGTATCCCATGGTGACAATCACTGGATTGTCTGGTCCACACTCGATTTGTGTACAAACAACATCGTACAGCTGTAGTACTGCTGAAACAAATATATGCTCGTGATATAGTCACAATCGCCTCTGCTACAAGATGAAACTAGATCACTATTTGCTTACAGTTCTTAGAAAGGGCGGAACTGAATTGTTGCGTGTTGATCCCGAAGTTGAAGCTGAAAGGCTGACCGGGAACCAGTCCGGAAAACAACTAGGTGTGAAACTACAAAGCAATTTGATGTAGACTGCAATTGTTTATCCATTTAAATAGCATGCACCATCCATTGTCGCCATTTGCAGTGATTTTGTTTATGACGGTTGCTCACCTGTTCTTGAAGACCTGTTGTCATCACTATTTTCATAGACAGACAGATATTCTAAACAAATGTTTGTTAAAAACACAACAGGTTACATCACAAGTCGTATTTCAATTGTCCGAACATGTCAGGTCTTGCCTGACACAACTGGTAGATAAAGAAAGTGAAGGTATATAACAGGCTTAGTCTGGGTTGGTTATCATACCTTGGGTTTGCCTCCACTTGCTGACAGACCACGTACTGGCATGGCTTCAAGGAAACAGACAGGAGCCTACAGGTACAATTCGATCTGTTACATGAGGTGAGAGTGCTGTTTATACAGTGGTGTATGAGATACATGACTATCTCATAGTACCAGATACATCACTCTGACCATGTCATTGTATTTCGTATGTAAAATACCATACCAATAGTTAAGACCCTACACCTTTTCACTCGTAACCCTTGAGTGTGGTATGGACAGTGGTGAGTCCGGGACGACTGTCAGGTCCAGCAGCCAGTTCCTGGTTAAGAAATTGTCATTCTGAATTTATACAGCCTTTAGGGAAGCATTACATCGTAATTACTCAAGCGGTATATCAAGTATAGCCTGGCAGTATATCATGTATAACCAAGCACTTTATCATGTATAACCTAGTAGAATATTTTGTACATCCTAGCAGTATACCATGTATAACCTAGCAGTATATCTTGTAAATTCTAGCAGTATATCATGTATACACTGACAGTATATCATGTACATTCTAGCAATAAATCATGTACATTCTAGCAGTATATCATGTTCATCCTTGCAGTAAATCATGTATAACTTAGCATTATATCAAGCATAACCTCGCAATATATCATGTATAACCTAGCAGTATATCATGTATAGCCTGGCAGTATATTATGTGCATCCTAGCAGTGTATCATGTACATCCTAGCAGTATATCATGTGTAACCTAGCAGTACATCATGTACATCCTAGCAGTATATCGTGTATAGCCTGGCAGTATACCATGTAACGCCCGACAGTATATCATGTATAGCCTAGCAGTATATCATGTATAACCTAGCAGTATATCACGTACATCCTAGCAGCATATCATGTACATCCTAGCAGTATATCACGTTTAGCCTGACAGTATGCCTAGTGGTGTATAATGCATATACCGGCTGTATATCATGTATAACCAAGCAGTAAAATCATGTAAAGCCTAGGAGTATATCATGTACATCCTGGCAGTATATCATGTATATCCTGGATGTATATCATGTATAACCCTACAGTATATCATGTAAAGCCCGACAGTATACCATGAATAGCCTAGCAGTATATCATGTAAAGCCTGGCAGTATATCATGTATAGCATAGCAGTGTATAATGTATACACTAGCAGTATATCATGTACATCCTAGCAGTATATCATGTTCATCCTAGCAGTATATCACGTATAGCTGAGAGTATATCATGCATAGCCAAGTAGTGTATCATATATACACCAACTGTATATCATGTATAATCTAGCAGTATATCATATATAATTTAGTAGTATGTAATACATACACTAGCAGTTAATCATGTACAACCTAGCATTATATCACGTAAACCCCAACAGTTTATCATGCATAGGCTATCAGTATACCATGTACATTCTAGAAGTATATCATGTATAATCTAGCAGTATATCACGTACATTCTAGCAGTATATCATGTACATCCTAGCAGTAAATCATGTATAATCTAGCAGTGTATCATGTATAACCTAGTAGTATATAATGTATAACCTAGCAGTATATCATATATATAACCTTGCAGTATATCATGTATAGCCTGGTAGTATATCATTTATAGCATGGCAGTATATTATGCATAGCCTAGTAGTGTATCATGTATACACCAAGTGTATAACTTGTATAACCTAGCAGTATATCATATACAGCCTAGTAGTGTATCATGTATACACTAACAGTATATCATGTACATCCTAACATTATATCACGTAAAGCCCAACAGTATATCATGTACATCCTAGCAGTATATCATGCATAGGCCATCAGTATACCATTTACAATCTAGCAGTATATCATGTGCACCCTAGTAGATTATCATGTAAAGGCCAGCAGTATGTCATGTATAGCCTAGTAGTATATCATGTATAGCCTAGCAGTATATCATGTGTAGCCATGCATTATATCAAGTATACCCCAGCAGCATATTATTTAGAGCCACGTGTACTACATCATACTTACGTTTTGATGACATCATGCCTAACCCAAGTTTCCTTCCTGTATTCCCCATTACTCCACCATTCCTAAAATTCTTTAAAACAGCCTGCATAATTACTCCCCATTGCAGTGGTACATTATGCATTGTATGCCCACCCGAAACATAGTCCACCCTGTGATACAACTGTAAGCTATTAATGTACGTTGATGAAAGATCATTGAAAGATATACTTTATTAGTTAACCTTTTTACATAAAACAGAACGTTTGGTGATAGTGGCAAAAGAGAAGAGGGTTGCCTGGACTGGGAGGAGTACTTCATGGCCACTGCATTTCTGTCTGGAATGAGAAGCAAAGATCCTGTGACGCAGGTAAAATGGGGACCACATCTCGCTATATCAATACGATTGTTCTGCTCACATACAGCATATACTCACCAGAAGTATTTTATCTTACCTTCATGTAAAATACTTTAATTTCATTGGTCAATGACGCTTTAACAAGTTTCCGTGTCACCTCTCCCTGGAGGTTGACAACTGGAAAATATATTACCCGCTGCCACGGTAACCGCCAAACGCTCCGCCGAGAAGCTTGTTTCGCTAACAATCATATGACGTCATAATATGACGCATGCAGTGTCCGGAGTTCGAAAACCGTTCCATTAGATGTTTTTGAGTTCACTATGTTCACTATGGTTAAACTATGTTATACATTGTATCGTTTGCACACTCAACTTAAACACAATTAACCATTATTCTATTGCAGTTTTAAGCTTGTCAGAATATGTCTCACTATATAGTATGACCAGACATTATTGAGAATTTTAGGAATATGTTTAATTTGATTTCTACTATAAACAACCTTGTCCAACTATCTCCGTTAATCCTTTTTCATTAGTTTGTGAAGAGTTATCCCACTTTGTTTACTTGCTAGCAGACGACATTTTCAGCGATCCTCAGTATGGATGATTTAGAGAAGGGGAAGTTGATTTTAGAGTATTATAACAAGGACATTAGATCAGCTAAAGTGATTTCAAGTAGAACAGGCATCCCTTTGTCCACTGTTTATCGTGTTTTGAAAAATATTGCAAATGGATATGGCACTGAGCACCAGGGAGGCGCAGCTAGGCCCAGAAAATTGACTGTCGGTGACAGGAGGCGGCTTGGTATTCTTGTTTCTAAAAACAAACGAAAGAGTTTAGAAAACTTAAGGCTGGATATGATTGATAGAGGAACTGTGGCTGTCTGTAAGGAGACAATTAGAACTGAGCTGCATGCAATGGGTTGGCAGAAAAGTCGAGGAATTCCATCACCGATCATGAAACCTGAACAAAAGGAGCGAAGGTTGAACTGGTGCTTACAGCATAGACATTTTAACTGGGACAATGTGATTTTCTCAGATGAAAGTTCTGTGTGGCTGTTTCCTAATGCACTGAAATTCTGGACCAAACAAACTGTAAAACCTTTGTATTAGCGCCCAAATTACAGTCTGAAATTTAACGTGTGGGGTGGCACATCTGTGCAACACCCCTCTATGTATTTGGAGGGAATATGAACAGTGAGTGGTACACAGATATTTTCAAGGGACATTTACTGCCATCTCCTCACGTGTTCTATGGAAATGTTTGGATTTTCCAGCAGGACAACGACCCAAAACATCATTCAAAGCATTCACAGGCCTGGTTTCGGATCCAAAATATGACATTATTAGATTGGCCAAGATGTATCCCTGATCTAAATCCAATAGAAAATGTTTGGGGACTAATGAAGGAAAGTGTCAATAAGACAAATCTGACAAATATTGCTGAAATGAAAGAAGAGGTGGTCCGATATTGGGACAGCATGGACCACGACTTTCTAACTTCTTCGATCAGTAGTATGCCCCGCCGCACTGAAGTCTGCATTGCTGCCCATGGTGACTTGACAAAATACTAAATGTTCACCTGTCTTTGAATCTGGAGTTATGTTCTGCTAATATTCACATTTAATACGTGAGTAATGAGTGAAAAAAATAGAAACATTTACAATCTTTAAATTCTCAGTAATTTCTGGTTGTACTGTGTATGTACGCATCTATGCAGCAGTGTCATCTCTCGCCTACCCGCTAGGGTAACACTGCTACAAAGATCCGTACAATAGATCGTAATACCCTCGAGAGAAGCATACAACTTATATTATCTTACCTTCATGTAAAATACGTTAATTTCATTGGTCAATGACACTTTAACATGTTTCCGTGTCTCCCCTCCCTGGAGGGTGACAACTGGAAAAAATATCACCCGCTGCCACGGTAACCGCCCAACGCTTCGCCGAAAAGCTGTATCGCTAGCAATCATATGACGTCATAATATGACGCATGCAGTGCACGCAGTGTACGCATTTTTGTAGCAGTGTCACCCCTCGCCTACAAAGAGGTGTACATCAGACCGTATTACCATCGAGAGAAGCATACAACTTATAATCAACCACTCGCTGCTAATGTAGGATGAGTCAGGTCAGAGTACCCAAATCCTATGACATGCTGGGGAGCTTCTCTGCCCCGCAGTGTCCCTAACAGTTGTAAGGAGAAATAACATCATGAATACGAGGATAATGTAGAAATCATGGGTTGTTTGTAGGTCGGAGCCTGTGTTGTCAATCCTAAGAAAAGGATCGTCGGGACAGGTTACAATGGGATGCCCAACAACTGTAGCGATCGATTGTTACCCTGGGGTAAGGACAAGAGGGACGACAGCAGGCTTGGAGCTAAATATTATTACGGTAATTGTTAATTGTTGCATTTAAACGTAACTGAATTTATAATTATCTTTGTGATCATAATGTTCTCAAACACACAGAAATTTGGCCTGAAACTGGTCTCCTTTTAATTGCATGGCAAGAGCAGTTCAAACGTCAGTGCCGCAGACAATCAGTCACTCAGTTTAGCAGCCCAGACTGGACGACGTCCGCGTGTTTGGTGGGGATGGGTGTATGTTGTTTTTCCTTTTTCTTTTATTGATGAGGGTTGCAAGTAGCAAATAATCCCTTTTTAGCGAATATTAAAGAGGCAAAAATTCGAAAGTGAACTTCCAAGCTGTATTTGTGGTCCCCTTGTCTTTCTGCTAGTCTGCCATGCGGAGATGAATGCAGTGATAAACAGGTTCTCAGCAGACTTGGAAGGCTGCACTATCTACGTTTCCCTGTTTCCGTGCAACGAGTGTGCCAAGATCATCATCCAGTCCGGCATCAAGGAAGTTGTCTACTACTCCGACAAGAACAATGACAAGGAGGAAGTAAAAGCCGCGAAGATATTGTTTGAAGAGGCTCGTGCCAAAACTAGGTTTGTAATTGTCCTAACCTAAATGGTTCCCTAATGCTTATTTACTCTCGATACTGCTTCTGGTATTGAAGCCAGTATGTATTAATCGTTTACATCTGCATGGATTAGACTGTAAAAAGTTTTATGGTATAATTTTCAATAAAGTAATTTTCTACCAACTGGAAATGTGAGTCTCGAACCCTATTTCCACAGCTCGGTATATGTCAGTCATCGGTAGATACATTCTATACATAATACCTCTGTAACATACAATCTTGAGATTTAACGGAGTGTCACTTTCCATTTCATAAAAGAGCCTACAAAGATCCAATCTAAGGTCTTAGTTAACACAATTGGGTTTCATTTGAAATCCACATCGTCTTGTGATGACATGTACATGATTATTTTTGTTTCGAAAAAGAACGACTTTCGTAAAACTTAAACCATACATTGACTGTATTGATTGACTGTACTTACAATAATCGTGCTTGTTTCAGACAATACGACTGGAATAAAGCCAATGAAATTTTGCTGGATTTCGAGTCCATTGAAAAAGAGCCTCAGCCCCGAAAAAAGGCACGAAAGGAGTGAATCTTCGTACTCATTCTGGAGATCCTTTTCCTGGAATTAGAACAAGAAAATGCAAAGGACTTTAATGCAGTTTTCTCTGTAGTGAAATAATTATCTTTACCTTTCAACATCGAATTTGATTATGATCATCCTTGAACATGGATATACTTCTTAGTCGATACTGCTGTTGTTTGCGCTTCTTGACTTCTACAGTTGTGATAATGTTGAGGTATTTAAACGTTTTAATACTTGTCTATCCATAAATGTTCAGCAAACCTACCCGGGTCTCTAGTAATCACCTCTATCGAAGACAACCCAAAACTATCCAAGACCCAAAACTATCCAAGACTCTCCAAACGCATCTGTAAATTATGGTGATACATTTTACTCGCTGAACAATCAACTGCTCCCTTGAAAAATTTAAAAACAAATTTATTTGGAATATCAAGAATGATAAAATAAAGTGAGTGAGTGAGTTTAGTTTGACGCTGCACTCAGCAATATTCCAGCTATATGGCGGTGATAGAATAAAGAGGAGAACTAACTATGAAGAAGGAGGATTGAGAATGACTGATTCAAAAAGATTTATAGGCGCTTTGAAATTGTCTCCTTTAAGATGGTATTTCAAAAGATGTGATAAGAATAAATCATGCAAATTCTTAAACTTACATCAAGATTGAAAATCCTTTTTGGCGTGATTTGCTAAAAGCATGGAAACTATTTCACACAAGAAAACCAAAACATTATATTGACCTAAAGAACATCAATGAACTTCTATCCCAACCATTATGGTTTAATCATAATTTCAAAAATTCATCAAACTACATGAAGAACTTGGCAGATAAAGTGATTATAAATAGTAGGGATATTTTTTTTAAACTGGATTATTATCAATAGAATGTTTAAAAGAAAAATATGTTATCAAAGGTACTTTTGTAGATTATAGATATTTACTGCATGTATAACCTGCATGTACTGCATGCAGGACTTTTTATGATATACATCCAAACATTTTTAGTAAATGGCAGCATTTATTTCGTGAAACAGACTTTGATTGGTAAATATATTTACAGTATATAGAAAAAGATTGCAAGATACAAAAGTTACAGATTTTCAACATAGATTTCAACAACGTATTATTTACACAAAAAGATAATTGCCTAAAATGAAAGTTGATAACAGTTTATGTTGTTCCTGAAATGATGCAAATGGGAGTGATTGTCATGTTACTGGGAATGTTAGGAGACACGACCTTTTTTGAAAAACCGGCAAATTTGGTTTAACAATTTATGCCCTCACCCACTCCTATTATCAAACCATATGGTTTGGTTTGGTACTCTACATCAAAATTGATTACTAAATCACATCGTCATTGCTGCAAAAAAGATATATTTACATGTGCAGTATTAAGAATATGCATCCCAATATTACTTTATTTATACAAACTCTGAAGGAAATATTCCTTGTGGAAAATCATATATGAAAAGAAATAAATAAATAAAACATTTCAATCACAAATGGGGCCTTCTCTTCCCAGTACTTAGATGACTTTCAAATGTATCCATATATACTAGATATCATCTTTCTCTTTTATTTATTTATATATGTTTATTAATTTAATATTGATATAATACAAGTACATCATTTATCTGTATGTATTACAGTTTTGTATATATACTCAGCAGCAAAAAATACGTCAGTACGAATTCAAAATTAGATTGGAACTGTAATCAAATCATTACAGAAATTGACATCATACGCGGATCAAAAACATTTTTGGTGTACAATATCTTGACACATCAATGAACAATTTCAAGACATTACGTGAACGTTTGCAGTCCATTCAGACTCTTGACTTCAGTATCTAGTGTGACCACCACGAGCGGCAATAACTGCAGCACAGCGTCTATGCATGGAGTGCACCAATCGATTGATGAAGGCCATTGACACCTGGAACCACACTCTGAGAAAGGCCTGGTGCAATAAATCGGCTGTGTTCGGCCTTGGTATGACATTATTCAATCTCCCCTGAATTTCATCCCAAAGATGTTCAATTGGACTTAAATCAGGACTAAGGGCTGGTCATGCATAATGTTGACACCGTTCTGCTGTAGGAAGTCCCGTGTAGCTCTGGCAGTATGGGCCCGGGCGTTATCATGCTGGAAAATGTTGTTCCGGTGACGTGCGAAATGTGGGATGACGTGGGGTCTGAGAGCTTGGTCGATGTAGCGCTCCGCTGTGATGCCGCCTCCTCTCCCTGGACCAAGGTTCTGGAACTCCACAGGACCCACTCTCTGGTTCAGGTCTATTCCACCCCATACCATGATGCTTGCACCTCCCCATGAGTCTCTTTCCATAACACATTAGTCTGAGTAACGCTGGCCACGTCGTCGCCATATTCTTTTTCTGCCATCTGCAGTTGATACGAAGTACCAACTCTCATCTGTGAACAGAACAGTTCTCCATTGTCTGTATCGCCAGTTTTGGTGTTGTAGGGCAAACTGTAGACATTCACGCCAATGATGAGGGGTGAGGATAGGTCCACGGTAAGGTCTACGGCAATGGAGGTTCCCGCTGTTAAGACGTCGGCGTACTGTTTCAGTACTGATTGGTCTTCCGTGTCTTCCCACTGGCTGGCATGCTGTTTCGGATGCACCTAATCGCCAGCACACAAAGTCATCCGCCTAACCAGCTCAGCTATTAGGTGCCTGACTCTGAGGGTGTGAGTTCGAATCCCGGATGGGGCTCAACTCAAAAAAGTACTAGAATTTATACTTTACTAAGAAAGTGTAATCCCAAATATAACATATGTTACAGTAAATTATTTATGTTAGAATTCAAACAACGTGTATTATACATGCATCGGCAAACTTGAAATCAAGATGTTAGTAATTGTACTCTTTTGTTAACTTATTGTACATCTAAATCCCAGCTTAATACTGAAAGAAATTTAACATGCATAAAATCTGTACAATTAAGAAGGGCTTTGACTAAGTTCAGATGCTGTTCAAATAATTTTACGAGTGCGGCGTAAAACTGAACTCACTCACTCACTCAAATAATTTTAAAGTTACTAAATACAAACATGTTCAAAATTGAAACCCCACTAAATTATTGTGTCCGTACTGCGGAGAAGGTGATGGAGACGAATATCATATTCTGTTTAAATTTATCTGTCCATATTACGCCCAAATTCGAGAACACTATTTACCTACGTATTATTATAGCCATCCATGTACTCAACATTTAATAACCTTGTTGACAACTGCAGAAGGTAATATATTGCTCCGCTTGGCCACCCACCTGTATAAAGTATTCAAATCAAGATTATAGCGCTCTGATAATGTTATTCAACAGCATTGTATCTTAAACTGTACTCAAGGCCTCCTGGCCCCGAAATGCAATAAACTTCTGTTAAACATCTGAATCCGTACAATACTAACTCAGTTTACAAAACCTTCGAAACGTAAACCACTTTATTCATTTTCACAGCTATTATTGTCCTTTACATCAAATAGAACAAACACGTGAAGGTCGTGAAAGTTCAGATCATTCTAAAACACACTGTTGGTGTAAGACCAACGAGATCACGAGATTGCAGAATGAATTATGAATCTGGATTATTAATCGGTTTCATGGCAAATGTTGTTTAGCAAGTGCTGAAACCTCGTTAGGATCAAACATCATGTTTATCTCATTACAAGTGATAAGTGGCATGTCAATCAAGTCTCAATATAAAATACACATGCAAACTAAATCAGCAATACCAAATGATCTGTTCAATAGGTTTTCTCTTAAAGTCATTTGTTATAACTATCGAAGAAGAATAAAGATCGGAAGTAGTTCCCACTGAATATTTTATTTCAAATCGATGTATTGATCAACAAGGTATTCCAGAAAGAGAGAGGACATTCATTATTTGGGACACTATTTACTGACTGAAGTGTTGAATGTACAGTTTGTATAAAGATAGTATGTATCGCCACTGGTCAGTGTTGCTTTAAACATCAGTGAAATAGATAGACGCTGGTAGAATATCAAAATGTGTGAGATGGTAGTTATTATGATATCAAGTATGTGTATGTCTAACCAAAAATGAAATCAATGGCAGATATAAACATCAACAAAGACAATAGGGATATATATAATGAAGGCGGATTAGTCAATACTTTACTGAGAAAATACCTCTTCTAGCCAATGTATCCAACATAACAACCAGTTACACATCGACATAATGATCTTGCTTTTCTAAGAACTGAAAGGAAAACTAAACAAAACCTAGAGCACGTTAGATCATGTTTATTGTTGGCAGTAAGATACAGCCCCAGTCCTTCTAAGAAATGTATGCTAAAGTAGAATGAAAAACAAGGCCTCTGTTTCTTACAGTTCTCAGAAATAAACAAAACCTAGGGAAGCCATTATTGCTGACACACACCAAAATAGAAACGACTATGGTGGATTTATATTGATGACCATGAGATATATATTGAAAAGAAAAGGGTCATAGTAGTAATTGGGAATAAACAGCAAGTGTGCTCACAATAGAGTGAGTGAGTGACTTTAGGTTTACACCGCACTCAGCAATATTACAGCTGTAATTATGGTGGTCTCACAATACAACCGGCTGTACCTGTTTCATATTTAGATCAATGCATTAAAGATTCAGAGTGACACAGAAGCCTCTCCACGTGACCGTTTGACGAGTGGGATGATTTTAGCAGATCCTGAAAAGGATGAACTTTCTAAAACACATTATGCACAATTGGTAAAGTAGTTGTATGCGAAGTGATTTTTCAAAACAATTGTCAAGTGTATAAAAAGATCACTCTCTGATATACAAATTGTATTGTTACATGTCTGAACAGGTGAATTGTTTATCTCAAGTCGATATCGAGCGTTGTCTTGACTATAAACTATCCTGAGGACTAAGTCGGATAACAACATTTTTCCAGAAGTAGTTCCCTCCATGTCGAGTAGCATCCCACCAGTTCCAGCTGCAGCTTTTCACATCCGGGGCTCTATCTACCAACTTTCATCACACTACTCTTGCTCAAAAGGTGATTGCTGAGTGTCACAACATTCAAAGCCTCAGTAAACCTCCACAAATGTTGCACGGTTGCAGATTTGGCCGCATCACTGGCAACGTTGATCATTTAGAGTTTATATATGACACAGAGGCGTCGTGTACAGTAGATACGAAATGAAGGCAGTCAAGTGGTTCTTGCGGATTTGTTGGCGGATGTTATAAGGAATAAAATGGAAAAACTCTACATGTAATATGTACATGCATTCGAAACAGTCCCACTCTAGTCAAGGGCTTCACTGTCAGACGCAGAAGGTACAATTCTACCAAGGAACACCTACCTATTTACATTTGCGTTGTGTCCACTGCCAAAATTCACATAAGCTGGTTATTTCAAAAAAGGAATGGACGTGTAAATCGTCTTTCTTCTCCAGTATTATTCATGTTATGGCAGGTCTCCAGATCTAACTGACATCCTGATGTGACGATCACCAGAGCTCTGAGGACAGTAAAAGTAAGTTTTGATTGTCACTGATATCTTTGTCATAAAGAATGTCAGTGCTCATTTAATTGTTTTCAAGGAAGTAGATGCCCCTGCCCATCGATCACTTGATTATCTGGTCTGTTGACAGGCCACTGTTAGGCTATAAATGCTTACACACTTTGGGCAAAGTTTGTGACTGGAGGCTGATACCAGTGGGTCAAGAATTGAGTCACCTTTCCGCTAACACCTGGTGTTATCTCTGACCTTTCAGTGGTCCATACGTAATATTCACAGTTATTTTGCCTTTAAACCAAAAGGACTTGTCTCCGAGGATAAGAAAGACTGGGTATTATTTTGCATCGACATATTAAATTAGTGTGAAGTTGACACCAAATGATGTTATTGTTTTGCAGTCCTTTTAATAATCATAAATATCTTGTTCTCTTCACGATATGACACAGATACGTTGTGTACAATAGTGATATATTCCTTCTGGGAATCATGCAGGAAGCATGAATGCCATAAGTCCTCTTGTGCTCTGGCATAATGGTAGCTATCTGCTGTGATTTTGCATTTGAACAATTGAACAGTATTCGCAGTTGTTTATTACGGTTACCACACGTGATATCTCAATTGTACAAACATGTCAGGTCTTGCCTTGGTAATGTAAGTAAAGGTATATAACAGGATTAGTCTGGGCTGGGTGTCAGACGCTGGGTCTGCCTACACTTGCTGACAAACAACGTATTAAGATGTCTTTGGGATCAGAGAAAGGAGAAGTCAGGTAAAAGTTGATTGTCATTAAAATTCATCTGTTACATCATATAATACTACTGGTGTGTGAGATACAGTGACTTCTCATAGCTCCACAATAACGGTGATATTATATTTGCATTATGATATTAGTTTACACTTCTGTATCAAAGTAAATGTATTGATGTTCATTTGTTGAGATAAATGAAAACGGGAATGATGGTTATGTATCTGTCTTCAACACAAAATACGTAAATAGTAGTCACCGTCCATTGTCGCCATTTGCAGTGATTTTGTTTATGACGGTCGCTCACCTGTTCTTGAACACCTGGTATCATCACAATTTCATATATAGATGTATATTCTAAATAAATGTATATCATGTATACCCAAGTAGTATATCAAGTATACCCTGGCAGTATACCATGCATACCCTAGCAGTATTTCATGTATACCACAGCAGTATATCATGTATACCCTAGCAGTATATCAAGTATACCCTAGCAGTATATGATGTATACCCCAGCAGTATATCATGTATACCCTAGCAGTATATCATGTATACCCTAGCAGTATATGATGTACACCCCAGCAGTATATCATGTATACCCTAGCAGTATATGATGTATACCCTAGCAGTATGTCATGTATACCCTAGCAGTATATGATGTATACCCTAGCAGTATATAATGTACACCCTAGCAGTATATGATGTACACCCTAGCAGTATATGATGTATACCCTAGCAGTATTTCATGTATACCCTGGCAGTATTTCATGTATACTCTAGAAGAATATGATGTACACCCTAGCAGTATATGATGTATACCCTAGCAGTATTTCATGTATACCCTAGCAGTATTTCAAGTATACCCTATCAGCATTCCATGTATACCCTAGCAGTATATCATGTATAACCCAGCAGTATATGATGTACACCCTAGCAGTATTTCTTTTATACCCCAGCAGAAAATACACGCACGAAAGTTGAGATGGATTTCGAGTCCAGTGAGAAAGAGCCTCAGCCCAGTAAAAAGGCACAAAATGAGTGAATCTTTGTACTCATTCTGGAGATCGTTTCCCTATTCCTTTTTAGATTAGAACAAGAAAATGTAAAGCCCCTAAACTGAGTAACTGATTACCTGCGGTACTGACGTTTGAACTGCCCTTGCCATGAATTTAAAAGGAGAACAGTTTCAGGCCAAATTTCTGTGTGTTTGAGAACATTATGATCACAAAGATATTTTAATTATAAATTCAGTTACGTTTATATGCAACAAATAATAATTACCGTAATAATATTTAACTCCAAGCTTGCTGTCGTCCCTCTTGTCCTTACCCCAGGGTAACAATCGATCGCTACAGTTGTTGGGCATCCCATTGTAACCTGTCCCGACGATCCTTTTCTTAAGATTGACACTACACGCTCCGACCTACAAATAACCCATGATTACTACATTATCGGGATGGCCTAAAAGTCGGGCCGGGCCGGGCCAAGGCGGGCCAAATATATTATTGGCTAAAAAACCCATTAACGAAAACCATGCCTACAATTAATCAATGCAACATACACTCATGATAATAATGATCAATCGGAAGCCACAAACGCGTATTACATAATCCTAGTATGCATGATGTTATTTCTCCTTACAACTGTTAGGAACACTGCGGGGCAGAGAAGCTACCCAGCATGTCATAGGATTGGGGTAAAGTGACCTGACTCATTCTGTAGGCGAGGTTGGTTGATAATACCATATACGTCTGGTGAGTGCACACTGTACTTTGAGCAGAACAATCGTGTTGATGTAGCGTGACTATTCGTGGGATGTGGTCCCCATTTTACCTGCGTCAGAGGATCTTTGCTTCTCATTCCAGACAGAAATGCAGTGGCCATGAAGTACTCCTCCCAGTCCAGGCAACCCTCTTCTCTTTTGCCACTATCACCAAACGTTCTGTTTTATGTAAAAGGTTAACTAATAAAGTATCTCTTTCAATGATCTTTCATCAACGTACAGTAATAGCTTACAACTGTATCACAGGGTGGACTATGTTTCGGGCGGCCATACATGGCATAGGGTGTGATATACTGCTAGGGTGTACATCATATACTGCTGGGATATACTTGACATACTGCTAGGGCATACATGATATACTGCTAGGGTATACATGATTTTCTGCTAGGGTATACATGAAATACTGCTAGGGTGTACTGCTAGGGTATACATGAAATATTGCTATGGTATACATGATATACTGCTAGGGTGTACATCATATACTGCTAGGGTATACTTGACATACTGCTAGGGCATACATCATATACTGCTAGGGTATACATGATTTTCTGCTGGGGTATACAAGAAATACTGCTAGGGTGTACATCATATACTGCATACATCATATACTGCTGGGGTATACATGATATACTGCTATACTGATATACATGAAATATACTGCTGGGGTATACATGGAATACTGCTGCTGGGTATACATGATATACTGCTAGGGTATACATCATACTACTACAGATATACTGCTGGGGTATACATGAAATACTGCTGGGGTTACATCATATAATGCTGAGATATACATGAAATCTCATAGCTCCACAATAACGGTGCTATTATACATGAAATACTGCTATTACATATGCAAGGCCATATATGCTATATACATGATCATCCACTTCTGGGGTATCAAAGTAAATGTATAGGATGTCATTTGCTTGGGTATGCATGAAATAAGTCCCCGTGGTCCCTAGTATGGTGATCATACCTTGCTGGGGTATACATGAAATACTGCTAGGGTATACATCATACTGGGGTATACATCATATACCGCTAGGGTATACATCATATACTGCTAGGGTATACATGATATACTGCTAGGGTTGCTACGGTGTGCATCATGAAATACTGCTAGGGTATACATACATGGAATACTGCTAAGGTATACATGATATACCGATAGGGTGTACATACATATATACTGCTAGGGTATACATGATATACTGCTGGGGTATACATGATATACCGATAGAGTATACTTGAAATACTGCCAGGATATACATGATATACTGATAGGGTGTACATCATATACTGCTAGGGTATACATGATATACTGCTAGGGTATACATAATATACTGCTAGGGTGTACATGATATACTGCTAGGGTATACATCATATACTGCTAGGTGTACATCATATACTGCTAGGGTATACATGGAATACTGCTAGGGTATACATGATATACTGCTAGGGTGTACATCATATACTGCTAGGGTATACATGATATACTGCTGGGGTATACATGATATACCGATAGAGTATACTTGAAATACTACTAGGATATACATGATATACTGATAGGGTGTACATCATATACTGCTAGGGTATACATGATATACTGCTAGGGTATACATGATATACTGCTAGGGTATACATGATATACTGCTAGGGTATACATCATATACTGCTAGGGTGTACATCATATACTGCTAGGGTGTACATCATATACTGCTAGGGTATACATCATATACTGCTAGGGTGTACATCATATACTGCTAGGGTGTACATCATATACTGCTGCTGGGTACATGATATACATACATCATATACTGCTGGGGCATACATGGTATACATGATATGCTGCTAGGGTATACATGATATACTGCTGGGGTGTACATCATATACTGCTAGGGTATACATGATATACTGCTGGGGTATACATGATACTGCTAGGATATACAGTATACTGCTGGGTATACATACTACTAGGATATACATGATATACTGCTAGGGTGTACATGATATACTGCTAGGGTATACATGATATACTGCTAGGGTATACATGAAATACTGCTAGGGTATACATCATATACTGCTAGGGTATACATCATATACTGCTAGGGTGTACATCATATACTGCTAGGGTGTACATCATATACTGCTAGGATGTACATCATATACTGCTAGGGTGTACATCATATACTGCTAGGGTGTACATCATATACTGCTAGGGTGTACATCATATACTGCTAGGGTATACATGGAATACTGCTAAGGTTTACATGATATACTGCTAGGGTGTACATCATATACTGCTAGGGTATACATCATATACTGCTGGGGTATACATGATATACTGCTGGGGTATACATGAAATACTGCTAGGGGTACATGATATACTGCTAGGGTATACATGATATACTGCTAGGGTGTACATCATATACTGCTAGGGTATACATGATATACTGCTAGGGTATACTTGAAATACTGCTAGGGTATACATCATATACTGCTGGGGTATACATGATATACTGATAGAGTATACATGAAATACTGCTAGGGTATACATGATATACTGCTAGGGTATACATCATATACTGCTAGGGGTGTACATCATATACTGCTACATACATGATATACTGCTAGGGTATACATGAAATACTGCTAGGGTATACATCATATACTGCTAGGGTATACATCACATACATATATACTGCTAGGGTGTACATCATATACTGCTAGGGTGTACATCATATACTGCTAGGGTGTACATCATATTCTGCTAGGGTGTACATCATATACTGCTAGGGTGTGCATACATCATATTCTGCTAGGGTGTACATCATATTACTGCTAGGGTGTACATCATATTCTGCTAGGGTGTACATCATATACTGCTAGGGTGTACATCATATACTGCTAGGGTGTACATCATATACTGCTAGGGTATACATGATATACTGCTAGGGTGTACATGATATACTGCTAGGGTATACATGATACTGCTACTGCTAGGGTGTACATGATATACTGCTAGGGTATACATGATATACTGCTAGGGTATACATGATATACTGCTAGGGTATACATGATATACTGCTAGGGTATACATGATATACTGCTAGGGTATACATGATATACTGCTAGGGTGTACATGATATACTGCTAGGGTATACATGATATACTGCTAGGGTATACATGATATACTGCTAGGGTATACATGATATTCTGCTAGGGTGTACATGATATACTGCTAGGGTGTACATGATATACTGCTAGGGTATACATGATATTCTGCTAGGGTATACATGATATTCTGCTAGGGTGTACATGATATTCTGCTAGGGTGTACATGATATTCTGCTAGGGTGTACATGATATTCTGCTAGGGTGTACATGATATTCTGCTAGGGTGTACATGATATTCTGCTAGGGTATACATGATATACTGCTAGGGTATACATGATATACTGCTAGGGTATACATGATATACTGCTAGGGTAAACATCATATAGGTGAGATGGCTTCGGAATCACAGACAGGAGAAGTCAGGTAAAAGTCTGTTGTCATGACAATACATCTGTTACATCACATAATGTGAGATGCAATGACTTCTCATAGCTCCACAATAACGGTGCTATTATATTTGTACTACATATCAAGGCCATATATGATATATACTTTCCACTTCTGTATCAAAGTAAATGTATTGATGTCATTTGTTGAGATACTGTAAGTCCCCGTGGTCCCTAGTATGGTGATCTACCTTCAGTTCTTAGACCCCGTTTTTATAGTGTGTTGTCCTACATAGTTAATATGTTTTAGATTTAATTACTAGTTTTACATTTATATCTGTGATATTCTAGTTGTTTGACTGTCCTTCGTTGACAGAATTTTATAATTTACGTTCAACTGTTAATATATTTCTAACTTAATTTAGTCACGATATGGCTGAAATACTGCCGATGTGACTTAAAATCTGAACTCACTCACTCACTCACTCACTCACTTGTTGAGATAAATGAAGACGAGAATTATGGTTATGTCCCTGTATTCAACTTACAGACAAAAATGTAGCTGCAGTTCAATAAATGACACCGAAATATTTGATAGGAATTATTACCTTGATAATTTATTTTGCAGATTCATTGTGTATATGCTTTGTGGATGCATTTGAAGTTATGAAAAAGGCGATTTGCCGTCTTTTCTTGCTTGCAGCGATTATAATGGCTTTGTAGTAGGAATGGTTCCTGCAGCAGCAGCACTAATTAACTAATCAAGAAATTTAGCAAGAATACCTTGTATGTGGCAGCTTCATGAGAATCACCAATATCATTTGTAGAAGATCTTCTAGCTATTAGATCTAGTTCGTGTTTCCATCAGTACTACACTCATGTGCCAAAATGGTTTCAATGTTGACCGATCAGTGTACTGCGATGAATTTGAAGACGTTTATGTTTCGTGCCGCGTCTATTGGTAGTGTCAGGTCTTCTCTGTCTTTTGTCGTTGATATCACTTCCCGCCATCTTCTTTCGACAAATACTGATCTCAATGGGACACATAACAAAATATTAAAGCAACAGGACACCGATAAGGTAAGCAACGCGTTCTTTATTATCTATAACCTGACGCGACTGAAAATTCTATCTTAAAAATTGACTCAATTTTGGCACTTGAGTGCATTCATTCATTCTGGCTTCCACATTTGCATTACCAATCCTCGATTCCCACTTTTCTAGCTTTGTTATCTTATCACTTTGTTGTTTTCCCATGAACATATCTAGCTATCTCCTTCCTACGGAAGCGTATTAGGGTCAAGATGAAAAAGATTTGGTCTCACTATCTCCTACGTAGGAGTTATTAAGTCCTACGATAATTACTATCTCCTACGAAGTAGTTAACATCTCCTTCGTAGGACTACGTATCTTCTATGTTGGGCTTGGTATCTCCTACGTAGGACATATTATCTCCTTAATATCTCCTACGTAGGAGATGATGAATATATATTAATATATGTGCATATACACAACTAATGCTCGGTGAGGTGAAAGGGAAATTGAAAAGAATCCTGCAGTTATGTGGATGAGTCACACGTAATTAAGTCGAGCAACCACACTCGTCCGGACTTGACAATAATTTCTCCAATTTTTTACCATTATATTTTATTTTCTACTTAAAGGCTTGTAATGGTTAGGGGACATTTACGTTTTGAATCGGGGTACTGACGCTTAACGTCGTAATTATAATTACAATCGTTGACATGCGTGTGGAGTTGTTATCGCCAATCGTAGCAACTGAATTATTGCAGAAAAGGTTCTTTTTTAGCTTCGAATTATGAAGTATGTGAATTACGTTGAGAAATGTTTGGTAATGCAGGACGTTAAATGGTAGAAGTGTAACTGTGTATGTGTATATGTTTGGGTGACGTGGACCTTGTTCTATTGATAATTGAAGTTATGTAGGTGCGGGTATGGTTATGTTTGATCTGTCATAAATGCATTGATTCACACACAGAGGGAGGGGAGGAGGAGGTTATGATATGAAACTCTGGTTAAAACACGTCCTCAGCAGCACGTTGCTGCTTGTCTTTAGAGGGGGCCAGGTTGGATCAGATACAGCGCTTGTTGTTTGCGGTTTGTTTGTTTGTTTGTTCGTAATTGCTTACAGGTTGACTTGATTGGGGTGGAAGTGTTGAGTGCGGCGTAAAACAATACGAAATTCAAAAAGGCAAAGAATTGTCATTCTATTTACTTGTTCATCGCTGTAACACAAAAGCCATATAATAACAATGATCAATGTCACTCGCATTTAAATTGAAGTCCTCTCTGGCCACAAGCATAGGCTACTGGGGTCTAGTTCTAACACAGAATCCCCATGATCTGAAATGCCACAAACTCAACAAACTGTAATATTTATTCACAAGAAGATGGTGACGGTGTCTTTTATCTTGGAGGAAGGTATAGGAAACCTATTGTTGACAAACATTTTCTGTGTCTGCTTATTTACTACACCCTACCGGCTTCTGAATCGTGGGAATGAGCACGCATGGATTGCCGATAGTCTAAGATAGGTCTGTGCGTCAGAGGTAAGCCCGCAGATCTCGTATGACCCATGTGCAACGACCTCTGAACTATCCAACTCATAGCAGTAAAGTGTAGCAGAAAGTGCAACACATAACAGTGAACTAACTGCCACATGTCCTAGTAGAGCAAATTGAATGCAAGGCAGTAAAGTATAACAACCGGCCAAACACATGACGGTAATGTGCAACAATTAGTGTTCAATACATGATTCTAATAGTGAATGAAACACGTGTCAGTAGATGCTAATAGTGAATGAAACACGTGTCGGTAGACTCTAATTGTGAATGAAACACATGGCAGTAAATGCTAATAGTGAATGAAACACATGGCAGTAGACTCTAAAAGTGAATGAAACACTAGACAGTGGATGCTAATAGTGAATGAAACACATGGCAGTAGACTCAAATAGAGAATGAAGCACATGGCAGTAGACTCTAATAGTGGGCTGTTCTATTATACCCAAAGGTACGTGCCTAATTCTGCCTTGACTTTTTGTAGACGTTTTGGCATGTAGAAGTTTTGGGAGATAACCGTCTGCTGACATCAGTGGTGGAAAACTGTGTCTCAACTTTCACGGCAGTGGATACCTCAAGACAAAATATACATCGACACCATAGTTTCGCTGTATAGTTGAGTTAGCTCGGACCCTGAATGCAAGTGTGGCCTGTTTAGTGTCACGTGACTTTCGAACTAAATATGAAAACATAAATACAAATCCTACTTATTGTTGCCAGAGATCTGTGATGGTATTATGGTACTACATATGTGTGTCTTGGCGTAGGGGTGTGGGCACATCAGTCTGCCCTGTTTTAGCGAAACAGACATTTGCTCTATGACCAAGTTAAGCTCAATACAATGCATATGTTTCACGAACTATGTAAACTACAACGCACTCGGGCATGCAAAGCACTTATATATCTCAAAAAGTTAATGGCCTTACGTCTCTGACCTACATACATAGTGTCAGGTACATAACACTTGATCCTCATTATGCCGGAGTAACAATCAACTATTCTGACAGTGTAACCTTCACCTATTCTGACAGTGTAACCTGCACCTATTCTGACAGTGTAACCTTCACCTATTCTGACAGTGTAACCTTCACCTATTCTGACAGTGTAACCTTCCCCTATTCTGACAGTGTAACCTGCACCTATTCTGTATTCTGACAGTGTAACCTTCACCTATTCTGACAGTGTAACCTTCCCCTATTCTTACGTACACCTTCGTGTCATTTTTACCCACACGCTTAGTGTCAGTTTCACCCACACGCTTAGTAAGTCAGTTTGACCTACCTGCTTAGTGTCAGTTTGACCTATCCGCTTAGTGTCATTTTGACCTACCTGCTTGGTGTCAATTTGACCTATCCGCTTAGTGTCAGTTTGACCTACCTGCTTAGTGTCAGTTTGACCTATCCGTTTAGTGTCAGTTTGACCTACCTGCTTGGTGTCAATTTGACCTACCGGCTTGGTGTCAGTTTGAACTACCAGCTTAGTTTCAGTTGAACCTACACGCTTGTTATGCACGCATAGTGCCAATTTGACATCCGTGACCTGTATCACAAATAACGCCTCTGCTTTAGTGACAGCGAAGGGGATGACAATGATGGCAGGGTGGAGGATGAGAAGAGGAAGGACTACATAGACTGGGAGACGTACTTCATGGCCATGGCACTAGTCTGTGCACAGAGAAGCAAAGACCCCAAAACACAGGTGAACAATGTTGAGAAGACAGAGACAGAGTGCAGGAGACACAGAGAGCGGAACGGAGAGAGAGAGAGAGAGAGAGAGAGAGAGAGAGAGAGAGAGAGAGAGTGGGACGTAGAAAGACAGAGAGAGGGACGGAGAGAGACAGAGAGTGGGACGGAGAGAGACAGAGGGTGGGACGGAGAGAGACAGAGTGCGGGAGAGAGACAGAGAGTGGGACGGAGAGAGACTGAGAGTGGGAGAGAGAGAGAGAGAGAGAGAGAGAGAGAGAGAGAGAGAGAGAGAGAGGAGAGAGAGAGAGAGAGAGAGAGAGAGAGAGAGAGAGAGAGAGAGAGAGAGAGAGAGAGAGAGAGAGAGATACATATTTCGCAAGGTTTCAAAGATATCGTTGTTAGTCGACTCACCTGTACTCCCTGTTACAGGTTGGAGCGTGTATTGTGAACAAAGACAAAAGGCTCGTTGGCACTGGTTACAACGGAATGCCCGATCGCTGCAGTGATAGCAAGCTACCTTGGGGCAAGGGAGAAGGTTTACAGCAGAATAAACATTTCTATGGTATGATATTGACATAAACTGAAGCATTAAGTTAGAAATTATATAGTCTTATATTACAAATGATTGCCAAAACATGAAATACAGGGGCAGCTTTTCTGACTATTCTGGAATCTCTGAAAAATATCAATCAAAACCATTCTCATATACTTGATGACAAGGATAATTTACCCATTGAGTCTACATAAACGTAGCGAGTGATAATTGTTTATGGCAACATTTTTGTCAGTTCTGGGACAGGCAAACCATGAAATAAAGGCATAAGCAGTGAGACACGCTTTCAGGGAATATGGCAAGCCGTTTTAACATTTTTTAACAAATACTGTGATCTTAAATCGTTGTAAAGGTATCTTGAATGAAATTAGAGATATCTTACATAAAAGTGGAGATATCTTGAAATGAATATCTGCAATAAATTTCATAATATCGCCAAACGTATTAAACCAGAGACCATATGGTCTCTGATTAAACATATTAATATATTGAAAAGAATTGCTGATATCTTTAATTGGACTAGTGATATTATAGCAGGATTTATAGATTTGTTCAAGGTCATGTTTCTAATGATATCTGTAATTTAGCTCCTGATATCAGTAAGTTCGTAATAAATGGTAAAACGGGCTGATCTCATGACGTAATGGGAGTAATGAGGTAAGGGATTAAGTGGATTCCTGTGACAGGTAACACTTCTATTCTAATCCTACTTCCAGTCTGCCATGCTGAGATGAACGCCATATTGAACAGGTTCTCTGCTGACTTGAAAGGCTGCAAGATTTACGTGACCCTGTTCCCCTGCAACAACTGCACCCAGATGATCATCCAGTCAGGAATCCAAGAAGTCGTCTTTTTGTCAGATGAGAAAAAGAACAAGGACGAAGTGAAAGCTTCAAAGATACTTCTCAAAATGGCTAAAGTACACTACAGGTCAGTGGCTCGCTCCTGTTCTTGCTTATATTCTGTGGAGGCAATACATCCGCTCTTGCACAAAGTAACGCTATTCTGACAAACGAATGGTCGCGTATGAATCTTTGAATACCGTGATAGCAATCAGCGTCCACCTTTCATCTATACATTTGTGTTTCAGAACATATCTTGGAAGTCGGAACACAATCGAGATACAGTTTCCCCCAGATCCGGACGTCGATCAGGTGGCCTCCAGGACTCGAAAAAGAAAGCGTTGAAGGATCAGGGTGTATTTTCTTGTAATAGTCACATGATAACGTCAAACGGGAGAATATTACACATAACGACTGATTTCCACAAAACACATCGTATTTAAGAATATAATTTGCTGTTCATGAGTAAGGGTAAATATAAATTATCAATTTTACTTGAAAAATTACATTTTGCTGTGCAAATTCATAATAAACGTGGACTTGCATGTGAACTTCTATCTTAATCATCTTTTTCATAATTACCAGTCATCGTTTAAATGAACTGCTTGGGGTGGGCTCTAACCTGCAGTCGTATAAGGCACGGAGTGGAAGTGAGTAAGTGGGTTTAATGCCACTTTCAACACATCATTTATACCACTCTGACTCGTTATGACAAGCACCCGACTTTGGTTGACGTCAACTGCCGGAACATTTGACTGTTGATCCAGACACTGTGACTTTACAGCAGGAGTTGATGCCCAGCCCGGGTTAGAATTGGTTTCCTGTATTTGTACATCTCTGGCTTCCATCAGCTTACTGCTTAACCAATTATGGCAATTATGTTGTTTTCTTTGTCAATTATGTTGTCTCATTGTTATATTCAGTATATATATATACATCTCCCCCACTTCATGTATCACTCTTGCTTGACAACGGTATAAGAATCTGTATCGAAACGTCGCACTCACGAAATAAAGAAGTTGTTATCCATAAAAAACTGTTCTATATTGTACGTCTCAACTTCTAAAATGCCACTCAAACAAGCTCCCATATTCAAGCCGACATGTCGTGCTATAACTTACGTAGTGTGATAAATGAGACTAAAATAATCAACCATCCCGTACACGATGCAGACAAATTAGCACTCAACCCTCAAACCAACTTTGAATGTGTCGTACTCGAATTCTAATGTAATCTCCTGTGTTTGTGACATGGGAGTGAGTTAGTGACTTTCGTTTTACGCCGCTTTTAGCAATATTCCAGCAATAATAAAGGGACAACAGAAATGGGCTTCACACATTGTACCCAAGTAGGGAATCGAACCCGGGTCTTCGGCGTGACGAGCGAACGCTCTAACCACTGGCCTACCCCACCGCCCCTTTGTGACATGGACTCCCCTCCAGGTGGAGTGTCAACATGACAGTTCGTGGAAAGGGCCATATTTTAGCTTTTTCAGCTTAATCCGTCAACAATCGATAGCAGTTACCTAACGTGACCTCGTTTCGGTTTAAATTTACTTTCGGTTCTTGGAAAGGGTGGATGTATATCTGCTGCTAATGTGTATGTTTTCGTGACAGAGGGTTTAAAAGATGGATGTCATATTCGATGATTGTTCCGTGACGATGTCCGCCCAATTATCGCTGAAATATAGGTGACTGGCGATTGTTCCGTGACACTCAACGCCCAGGTATCGCGGAGATATTGTTGAATGGAGGCTACAACAAAGCCCCTCATCTCTGCTGCGACATCTCTGTTCATCAGACATGACACCATCACTGACTGGGGCAGGCAGGTTCCCCAAATTTCTTTCCTTTACCTAACATACACTTATGAAAGGAGTGTACAATGAACCTAAAGAAAATTCCAGCAAGGCTAAAATTGGATTATAGTACCTTACAGTATCAAAAGAAAGACTTACCTTTTCCCAACAATCACACATTGTCATATTTAAAGGGAGACCGGAATTGACATGAAGTTATTGTCGGAATACTCCATGCGGTACAAATCCCTAAAGTCACGTGTTTGAGAATCACAGCTATCGGAGTACATTGTATCCATATCCAAACCTTGCCACTCCTGCATCTCACCAATAGAGCAGGTATACTGAAGATCAACGATCCACGTCGAGACCTCACAACACACAGTCCCCTCGTCGGGGAAGCATGGTCCCTATTACCGGCTGACTCGACAAACATGGTGAACTGTGACCCAAATCCCGTGAACTCCCACCAGGGGACACAGATGTGAATCTAGGGAACCAGGAAGTGGTGCAGGTGTCATCCGCTACAAAAAGTGAAGGCTTTTATTACAAGTTTACAATAAGTGTCTTATATCGTAATAGGGGCGGATCCAGGATTCTGGAGAAAGGGGTGCAAATAAATCATCAAGTCGAAAGGTTAGGGGGAAATAGAGGCTAGTAAAAATCCAATCGGGCCAGTAAAACTCCAGTCACTGGCCGGACTGTCTAGTGGATTTTCGCGGGGTCATTTTGTAAATATATCACTCTCTCGGACTTGTTAAGTTATAATACACTTTTAGATCATGCAAGATTATGGCCTGATAAAAATGTTCATCATATTAGCAGCTTAATGATGAAACCCGTGTTATGCCAACAATTTCTTATTCTCATCCATTTTCGTAATATTTTGCTTAGCTTCGACATTCAAAAATTCAGGCTAGTGAATTATTTTGTGGGCTAGTAACTTTCAGACATAGCTAGCCCAACTGGCTAGCACAATTTGGAAACTATTCAGCACGCCTTCAACTCACTCACTCGCCAAAGTGCTGAAGTCAACAAGCACAGGTATGGAGCTGACAAACCAAAATGTTCTGGGTGAACACGGATACAAACCAACAGTCGATCATGGCCACAAGGGAGGCAACCCTGTATGGCTGGTTGTACTGCCATAGAACACTCCACCACACGTGTTTCTCCTGCCACTGGTATCTGGGCCAGTTCACCCAATAGTTGGAAATATGCAATTGTGTCCCATACCCCACGTGTGTGATGACAAGGAATAAACAAAACAATTACATGTAGTCCCTCATCTGGATTCACAAGAGGCACAATCAATACGATAAAAACAAACTTCTAACTACAAATTAAACAGCACAAAGCTTTATTTAAATAAGGCATGTAAACATAATCTCAGATATCATAAATACATCATCATAAAATGCTATTCTTCTTCATATTATTAGTTTTATAACACAAGAACTATCACTCACTGCTGGAAATGAAACTTAACTTCCTTAATATATTTTAACTGGACACTGGGACATTTCTTTCATGGATGAAATCCGACAATCTATCCATGAGTTGGTCTATACTGCAGATCTTCCCACATCATAACATGAATATACCATGGACAGTTGAAATAGTCTCTCAAGAAATGTCTCCGAGGTCAAATACAGACAAAAATAATAAAAACACCGAGTATTTAAGTACATTAAGTGAAGATGTCCCTTTAATATGAGCAGTATCCATCAGGTTGTAACTCTGCCATAGGGGCAGCACCATGGCAGTTTCAGTTATTCAGAGTGTATTTTACCAGCTTGAACCAGCAAGATGTCTTCCTCAGTCAACACACTGACACAGTGATGTGATGTGCTACAGAGAAGAATCCAACATGTCTCCCCTCGACCCCCAACTGTGACAAGCAGAGAGAATGAATCTGTCTGAATCCCAACCACTATTTCAATCATATCACGGTGTGTCTGTTTCATGAGAATGCAAGAGCCTGAAGAAAACAGGCCACCTCTTTAGTGAAACTCTGGACTGGTATGTTGCAGACAAACCTAAAATCTATGCATTCAAACCCAGAATTCAGAGTTGAAGGCATGTACAAGGGAGGTAACTCTGCACATCAAGCTGCTGCAACCCAAGGGCTCAGACCTGAGCTACAAGAAGACTGAGGAACAGAAGGATGAAACATCCACTGATGAAAGACCCGGCTCTCGGTTCATATACTGACCACATAAAGAAACTGTGCACACAGAAAATTCCTTCAGAATTGGAATACAACACAGAAAAGACGACATGATGTAGACACTTTATAAGCTGAACTATCGGACCTCAGCAACATGTCAAAAGAACAATATCTGTAACGATGACGTCAGAAGTTCAAAATTGAGTCGGGGGTCACACGTCGAAGTCACAAAGTCAATAACGGGTATGACCATCATGCGCGTGAAGCACAGCAGGGCATCGATGACGCATAGAGGCTACCACATTTTCCAAATGAAGGCCTGGGGAATGGTTTGGGACGTGGTCACTGCCGTCTGGAACCTGTGTCTGAGATGAGTCACCCGAATCCATCTGTCCTGTCTTGGCGTCGTTACTCGGGGATGCCCAGAACGTGGGTGGTCGGCGACGTCATTACTGTTTCCCTAACGCCTGACCAATGCAGATATCGTTTTACGATGGCATTGTGAAATGTACTGCCACCTGTTGTTGGCTCATGCCTGCACAGCTGGGACAGCCACATAATGGCAAAAGTTAAAACTAATGTGAATTGACTAAAATACTGATGAAATCTCACACATTATGTTGACATCAACCTCTGTTATGTATTACAATACAGATAGACATAGCCATGTCACCTATGCTTAACCAACTAAAAGGGACTGTCAACATTTGCCCATGATATCTGTCATCCGTTACGCACACAGATCCCCAACCCCATGAAACCTGGGACAATAAGCAATGATAAGCTGTGACCATACCACACAGACTGGCACAAGGCGTTAGTTAATGGAAGCTGACACAGAGTCTGACCAGTTTGTTGGAGAAGCTGATGGTGTTTGTGTCTTGGAGTTGTAAAATAAGGACCATATATCTGCTAAGAAATGAAATACTAAAGAATTCATAACTAGCATGAGAATGATGTGTTTTATTTTGTTTGTTGCTTAACATCGTACTCAGCAATATTCCAGCTATATGGCAACGGTCTGTAAATAAGGAGTCAGGGCCTGGCAATCCACTGATCAAAATCATGAGCATCGACCTCCGCGATTGGTATACAATGACACACGTCAGCATGGGTTGCCAATTCTAACCTGGATCTTCACAGGCATAAAAATGGCGTGATAACATACTGCATGATATAGTAGAGAGATGAAGTTTTTAGACAGTTCTTATAAACCAATAGCATGTCATGTCCATGTTCATTAAAACAATATCCGCTATGGGAGACTGCAGAGTTGAAGTTAAAGATGTTGTACCCCAGGGTTCAATTCCCTATGTGTACACACCAAGATGTGATAGTGCTGGAATAATAAAAATACCAGCACACCCTTTACATCACACCATACAGTGTATAGAGTTTGAAATACTTGATGATGGAACATATCTAGGACGTTGTCAGGGCCTGAAAACGTGTTTATTTCTAAGGAAACTCACTTAACTTTCTGAAAAGTCATGACTGAATATTTCTTGAAGAATCTGGGAAGTTAATGTTACACTGGAACTGAATCATTTTACATTGGATGTGAAATCTGCAAATGTAATTTGTGACGTTTCTAAAAAAAACAGAACCAAATATTTTTTCTTTATACTTATCTGCAACAACAACCTGAATAGGAAAATCTAAAAAATGAAGCTAACCAATTTTTTGTCGATGATTGGTCGGTGGTATTGAACCAATCATCAATTTTGAGATTTCAACCAATTCCCAACACTACTTAGCAATATTCCAGCGCGGCAGACTAAATAATCAAGTCTGGACCAGACAATCCAGTGATCAACAGCATGCGCATCGATCTATGCACATATACATATAAAAATAAACCAGGTGGTGTTCTCCATACTGGATTGGATGTGTTGGGATGTGTCTATCCATAACACGGGTAGATAACTCAATAGATAAAGACAGCTGGGTTATTGACATTTGTAGAATCACTTGCATCATTTGATGTTAGTTTGGATGCTGGGTTGATATCTCCTATGCATATTTAAGGTGAAAATACCTCAGACTAAACTACCTTGTTCAAGCAGAGACCATAATGAGATCTATGATATGGTCCCTCATTTAACAATGTCCATCTGTAGTACCTGTGCCAGGTACCAGTCGAATTATCAGTTGCTAATATCCTTTATGAAGAATACCCCTGCCGACAACGACCCTTCCCCTGCAGTGACAGCTGTGTTTGTGACATGTATACCTGAATGTCAAGGAATATAAATCATTGATAATTTTGCCTTGTATCAACATCACGATATGACGATGAATGGGCCTAAATGAAATAACCCCGGACCATTATATGAAAAGAATACAAACCTTCCGTCGTCTGTATACAGTTACAGTACCGGAAGTGAATGTCATTGACCTGGCTCTTGTCTTATCATCCGCAGTCAGAATATTTTCAGACAGGCAAATCGAAGTAAGGGTATATTATCCCTTCTGTTCCCAATAAACATTTACTCATTATTCATATAATCAAAACATATCTTTCGCGGTGAGCAAATGTTCGCGTTGTTCTTATGTGTTTGTGCTGCAAAATAGAAGTTCGTCACATCAACATCAACAGGATGAAATAATGTCATGTGATAGTCATGTGACATTTGTTTGTAAACAGTGCTCAGTGTGTAGCGATTTGAGAGATGCTTGAGTCAAATAAAGATACAGGCATCTGAATGCAATACATAAGGGCAAAAAGAGTAAATGTAATATAGAATGTTGCATAGATATATAACTAATACAAATTAATTTCTATCCGGTGCATGGCGCTTGTTTGCACTCTGAGTACAACGCCGCCAAGCCAGACGATGAAGCGTACGTATAATCCGTATAAACACTGTGCAACGTTGTGCTACAGACAGACAGACAGACACTTTATTCGGTAATATACAGCCTTATGACCCATTTTACAGTTAATATATACTGTATTATAATGTCACGTGGGTACAAATTGAAGTAATTATCTAGCAAAAAATAACGTTTTAACAATTCTGCAACTGTAGTATAACAAGGGGATTTTGAGAGTTTAATAAATTTACCACAAATTGTTTTTATGGACATGTTTAATATGTGGAAGATATTTCTCTCTCAGATCTTTTATTTATCACAAACTAATAATACATGAAATTTATCCTCAATAAAGCCCAATTTACAGTTTGCACATTTAATTTGATCAATACCGTCTTGTTTATACCTTCTAGAATAAATGACATTAAATTGGGTAAGGAAAGTCTAAATTTACACATGGCTCTTATCAAATGCTTATTTTCTAATGATGTTAAATATTTCCATTAACACTATATGAAAACA